ACCCTAGCCATTCTATGATTCTGTGATTTGCAGTTCTGATTCCAGTTCTCAGTCCACTTTGTTGGATATATATTTCTGCCTACTTAAGAGGCAAAAAGTCCTAGGTAGAAATTACATTATCAGCTATAGTTTCACATATAATTGAAGTTCTGCATGTGCTGTGGTATTTAGGAACGGGAGATGGAAGCTAAAAAACGAGCTCTGGAAGAAGAGAAGCGCCGCAGAGAGCAACTGGAGAAAAGATTGGAAGAAGAAACTAGCCAGAGGCAAAAATTAATTGAAAAGGAAGTCAAAATACGTGAGAAACAAAGAGCACAGGTGAGACACATTGACATGAAATGGCTTTTAAGTGCAAGACTTCCCCTTGATATACAGAAGGGACTAAGTGTATTTCTGCCCATGGTAAATAGAGCTGCTTTCAGTTGAATAGATGAGTTTAGTATTTCTGAGGTGTAACTGTGCCCCTAAAAGTATGTTTGGGTTCTTGGAGCCTTAGATAGCTGTCTGGGTATTCATTTAAAGCTAAATAATTGCATAATATCTATTTAGCATCTTATATCTAAAGTAGAAATATTAATCCTATAAGGTTTCTTACTGAGTATGGCCAGAGCAGAATTTTTTTAGCCTGAACAACAGAAATTTGTGAATGTGTTAATTTATAAACCATGGTTGTTGTTTTTATTTTTGTTAATACATAAAATATCTTGGAATGTGAATTGTCACTTCCAAATATTTGACTGAAAAAAAAAAAAAGTTAAGCTTTTCCAGCTCCACATCTACTCTAGAGAGGAAATAATGTTACTGGGACTATACAACACAGGAAACATTACCTAATTAAAACAGTGTTACCTCCTACATCTTCTTGCTTCTTGTTAGGGTTTAGAGGTATCTGGAGCTTTCTTTAGGCTCAGAAGTCTTGCCTATTAGTTTATTCCACAACTAATAAGATCTACATGGTACAGCAAACAGACCAGGCAGTCATTTTATTTTTAATATAGTATATAGCAAGGTAATGTCTCCATGTTAATATATGTATCTGAGTGCAGAAGTTTCCATATCATATCTGAATATTTTTTTCTGCTTTTTTCCGTGCTGTCTTTCCTAAATCTTTGTTTCATGAGTTACTCTTATATTTTTTAATGTACATTGTTACATACTTGCCTTTCTACTTGACAACGATAAATCAGAATAATAGGACAACCCCAGAGGAACTTTAAGTTGTTTCTGGTTAAATATACCCATTCCTTTGTTCTTATATAAAATGTAATTACCAAATGTTGAATTTTATGTGTACTTTACTTGAATGACATCTTTTTTTCTAAGAAATCTTAATGACAACTCAGATATGGTATAAACAACAATGCCATGCTTATATCTTCATCCCAAATTGGAGGGTGCATGTATTGTAACAGAATGCCCTAGCAGTTACTGCTAATTTGCAGACTTGGCAGAGAGGCTGAAGACTGAATTAGCAGGAAGACAAAACATATCTGTCAAAAATAACTGATTTTTTTTTTTTGTTAACTTTTTTCTTTTCTTTGTACAGAGGCCCTCATTTTTTTTTTTCAGCACTTTCTGACACTTGGAAGTGTGAACTAGGGGAAGGAACTCCACTTTTGCACTTGCAAAGCTGGTGCCAGCTTTTATCATATAGGAACACATAATTTTAGAAGGGTGCTAAGAGTTCTTGTGGGCAACACAGCTCCCATTGCGCCAAGACGTTCTTGAGAATGTAATGAGGGAAAGTCCCTTTGATTTGTGACTCAGTGGGATTTAACAGGGCTAACTTCAGGCATGGCACAGGGGCAGATTGGATTCACCAGGTCACTTACCAGCTGATGACTTCAAGAAACTCCTGTACTCTAATCTTGCTTTTATAAAGTTATGCAATACTTCGTAAAGTTACAGGTTTTAAAGATTTTTCTTTTGAAGAAAATTAGAGCTGCAGCAAAGTCTCTGTATTTTTCTTACATTCTTTCTTAGAATCTATGGGCAGTTTGTAGTTATGTCCTTGCAGCAGAAAGAGTGATGGAGAAACTAAGACTTCGTTAAAAGTAATGTGATTTTCTTTTCTTTGCTGTAGGCCCGTCCCTTGACTCGCTATTTACCTGTTAGAAAGGAAGATTTTGACCTACGAAGTCACATCGAAACAGCTGGACACAACATAGAGACCTGTTACCATGTCTCCCTCACAGAGAAGACCTGCCGAGGCTTTTTGATTAAAATGGGAGGAAAAATTAAAACATGGAAAAAACGGTGGTTTGTTTTTGACAGAAACAAGAGAACTTTTACTTATTATGCAGGTAGGTTGCAGGATCACTACTAGGGTACATCTGTCCCTCGATTTTCCTGTCAGCCTCAGCTGAGTTATGTAGGGAGTCCTGAGTCAAACTTACATTTTCATTTAATCAGATTTTTTTAATCATAAACTTGGAGCTCATGCAATCCCTTCCCGATAGTGTTTAATCATAATGCCAGGTAAGACAGAAATTAGCATAACAGACAAAGAGAGAGATGTGGATAGGCAAGAGGAAAAAATTCAAGATCATCAGGTTCCTACTACACAGAAATAATGGGTACATGTAATTTATTTTTAAATATTATATACTTCTCCCACTGACAGAATGATTTTTTTTTTTTTGTACCCTTCATATAGGAATATAATTTATTATACTTGCCATGAAAATGAAATTGAATGCTTCTGCAGTCATTTTGCTTGATGTGCTGACACGTCTTTCAGGAAATTCAATATACAGGAGTAGATTTTTTGAGTTTGCCGTATTTTGAAAGTCCAAGGAATGTCAAATTAACAACATGCAATACTCTAAAGAGGTTTCTACACACTAAGTTGTGTTATATGATATCCAGAGACACTATAAGCATTTTGTTAATTTGTTGTCTTGGGGTAAACCCAGAAATTTGAAATTTCAGAACATATGTCTCTCCAATTGCTGTGCAAATCTACACATGGTTTGACTTTGAAGTTTCAGAGGAAGCCAGAAAAATGACTTTGTGATCTGAATATTTATTGCTAGGAGAGGCCAGACAGGGACATATATGGGATGGTCAATGCCAAGCAGCAGAAGAAAATATCAAGTACAAAAACACTTGTATGAGTGAGGATCTGTCTAGGAGACTTCCAAAATAAATATGATGCTGTAAATTCTGAGTAATTGAACTCTAAGTGAATATACCGGTATATTGTTTGAGTTCTGTCATTGTACTGAACAAAGAACTTACCCTAAAGTCTGACAATTTAGTGCAGTGACTGAAACACCTGCACTTTCTGACCTGAAGCATGCAGGGAACTCTACAAAGACCGTTGCGACAGGAACTTGTGGGTACCTCATATGCTCTTGTAACCACAACCCCAGGTGGGGCTTCAAAGGAGAGAGGATCGCTGTTTGCTTGTACTGCATAGGCAGTATACTTTGTATAGTATTTCATTTAACTTAGCATAATGTGTGCTATCATGTTGTATTCTTACATCTCAGTACTTCTACTGGTCCTTTGGGGGCTAGAAGGGAGATTCCCCGTGCTATATTGTTTGGTCTCTGGGTTTTCCTTTTGCCATCCTGTGAAGCTTTGGAAACTGCCTGCAGCTCCCGATAAGATGTAATCTGAGTTTTGCTAGTGTTCAGAATGACCACAGAATCTCTCATGGGACTGATAAAGATGTTCTGCATGACTGTTCAGTGTTAAGGTGATACTAATTTAGGGTCAGAAGGCATTATATTCCAAAGGCATTACATTCCCCTAATATAAAAGTACTGCGAGTGGAAGGAAGTTTGCCCTTCAGCGCCACATGCAGTTGTGATGCTTCTTAACACCCTTTGGGATTACTTAACAATTTCTCTTCCATTGCAGGAAGACAGAGGGTACTGTAGATGCTTACTTGCCCTGTTCTTTTTTTCTTGTGAAACATTATAGTTGTGACTGTTAAGATGTTACATTCATCGTAGTCTGTATCCTCCTTGCCCCGGTTCACTAGCTAATGCTGGGACAGAAAGCAATATCAGAAGATGTCTAAAATAGTTTAGAACTGACCCCCTGTGAGTGTCTGCTTCTTTCCATTGCCTTTAAAAGGAGATCAAGTCAGCTGTATCTCCACTGTAGATATCAAAACTTAGTGAGAAGACTCCCACCCTGTATTTCAGCTTTGCTGAAGTGGGGTATTGGTACCAGAAATACAGTAGCACTGGATAACAGCCTGCTCCTTGTTAGCAGCCTCTCTGGAGTAACTATCCATTCAGGCATTCTTACCTTGGGCAGTCTGAAGCAAATGGGGAAGTCTCCACCTTTTGCAGGGGCAAACTGCATCAAATTAATTTGTCTTTTACCTTGGGTGTCAGAATAGGAGAGTGCAAACAGACAATCAGGATGCTGCAGCTGGTGCCCAGGAACTTTTAGCCTCGTGTAAATTTTTCCATGTGTCAGAGCTCGTAGAAACTTGCCTACAATCTGCTAAACTCACATTTGAATAATAAATACTAGCTTGAGACTGAGAGAGATTATTATAAATGGGAAGAAGCATTTTTTTAATAAGTACAAGCACAAATGATGTTCTGATGTAAAGCTTTTGCTATCAAATTGTATTTCAGATTTGCTTATCATAACAGTTTTAATTTGAAGGCAAACTATAGGTCTTAGCCTGTGAGCTATGTGAAGTCTGGCAGGCTTCCAGGAATTGGAAGATAGGATGTACCTCCGAGACATCTGTCCTTCTGTTGGCTAATACCTGCCATAATGTTTAGACACTTCGATGAAGGGAATGACTTGCAAATAGATGAGGAAATTGCAAAATTTCCTTGGAAACTAGGTAGAAAAGAAACGTATTAAAGTAGGAAATGCATCTCTCAACAAAAACTATGAACTAGTAAGAAAGGTTCAAGATTTCTGCGGGGCTTCACAAACAGCAGTGTTAATCCCATTACTTATCAGCTGAACATATATGGAAATGCAAATTAAGCTTTTGTTTCTTGACGTAATGTTCATTTCAGTTCTCAAAAGTATTTCTCTCTTTTCCATTTTAGACAAACATGAAACTAAATTAAAAGGTGTAATATATTTTCAAGCTATTGAAGAAGTCTATTATGATCATCTAAAGAATGCATACAAGGTAAACTGTTTTTGTTGTTTTAACTGAGTATCATATGGCAGAACTCAAAGTAAGCTGATGTAAAGTCAAAGGGAGAGCTGACATTATTAAAAAAACAAACAAATGTCAGGGTGGAGGAAATGGAAGGTGAAATGAGATCAGTGATTAGCTCTGGGGTTTTTTTATACTGATGAAAGCAGAGTTAAGAGAGCGTCTACCTGCCAAGTGGTGGTCCCACATGGGATTTGCTGTGAGGAATTACTTAGTCCAATGGCAAGACCATTGAAATCACTGTCTTTGGCAAATCAAGGGATGGCTGTATGCATCTATGGTGAGGAGGGAGTTAACTGGTGCCTGCAGTGCATGGCACCCCCTGCCTCTCATCTGTAATTTAAATGAGCTGTGAACAAGATGAATATACCCTTGGCAGGTAGATTAGTGAAAGCCAAGGTGGTATTGACCACTGGACCGAGTGAGGGAGTTAGTTGTTTGGGCATGAAACAACAATTTGGAGCCCAGTACTGCTGTGTAATAGTATGCTGGAAATATGTCATAAAGTGTCTGTGCTGGATGCAAACACTTTAAATACATCTCTGTTTCCAGTGCAGCAATGCAGGACGCAGTGCATTTGAGTTTTATCTTTCTCCTTAACCCCATCGTAAATTTCCCTGTGAGTAATTTCACTTTTGTGCAATTAAATGGCTTGGCTTTCAGTCTTCTGATAATCCTTCTTTCTGTTTCATTCTAGAGTCCCAACCCGTTGCTCACTTTCAGTGTTAAGACACACGACCGGATATACTATATGGTTGCTCCTTCACCAGAAGCCATGAGGATATGGATGGATGTTATTGTTACAGGCGCAGAAGGCTACACCCACTTCATGTTGTAATAAAAGGGGGCAATAGGGCATACTGCAATAACGTAACATATGAAGTTAGCCATATGTAGTGAAACCTGAAAAGCCAGTGAATATTCTGAAATGACCTCCTTATGATGTGCACCCAAAACCTCAGAATGAGAGGGGTTTACAAATGCACTGAAAAGGGGGGCTTGTTACTTGTTTTAGTTGATCTTTATAGGAATGAAAGAACTAAAGCTGTTGAGGGAATCATAGTGCTCCAAAATGGATAATCAGGCAACTTAAATTACGGCATCATGATTCAATGATAACTTTATACAAATTCTCTTATCTGGAGAATGTCTTCATAAACTCGTACTAAATAGTTTACAAATGTGTTCTCGTCAGTATGCAAAAATTCTAGTAATGGAACAAAAAGGTGTAATAAGCATATATTTTAATATGCAGCATTTGACATTTATAGATGATTAGGTGACTTTTTAAAACTTTTAGTCAAGTATTTTATGAAAATATAAACAAAAAAGCAACCCTAAGGTACACACAGTTCTTGCCTTAGTAGTTAAGTATTACAACAGAGCCAAAGAATTATGATTCCCTTATCATAATGTTTTCAAATTGTTAGTTGTACCTAGCTTTCTGTAAGGGGACAGTGCCAAAACTCTTCATTACTTTTAAAGAAATTAAATAGTTATGATACTCTGTGTGTTCAAACACCCAGTGACACCAACCGTGTTTAAAATTTGCATCTATGGAGCTCAACAAAAAAAGAGCAGGATAGCTTTTTCATTTTTATGAAAGGGAAACACATGTATTAACTTCCTCATAAGGAGGAGTTTTTTTAAATCTTCCCTGTTGAATAGAATGAGCTGACTCTAGACCCTACAGGAATTTTCTTTTATGTAGTAAGGTCCTAGCGTGGTTCTAACCTTACTCTGTGCCAAGTGAACACTCTACAGAAACCTCTCAAACATTGGTCCCCTTGAAGCCTGCATCAAAATCTCTACCTATCTAAATTCTTTGGATACAAGTTTTCAGCCCTGAAGAGGTTTTCCTAAAATGCGTATCTGCAGAGAATAATGCTGTCAAATACAATTAAAAGAGATGCAAATTCTAAGAGTTTACACTAAGCAGTGTAAGAATAAAAAAAATCCTAAAAATGTTAAGTAGCAGAGATTGAGATTCCTAAAACAACAAAAATACTGAGGGTGCAGTAGTCTCCCCTTTTAAAATTTCCAAGTCCTTGAGTAATCTTGCAAAAAAATTAATTATTTAATTGAACTGAACTTCAGGAAAGTCTCTTAAAATATGACTTTAGAGAGGTTCTGTTTCAGTAATCAAAACTTATGTGCTATGTGGTCTGTGTAATAGAAGAAAGCACGTGAACTTTTTTTTTTTCTTGATGAGAAGTTAATGGCTTTTGGTGGAACAAAGAAAAAACTGAAAGCAGAACAGAAGTATGCTGGCAGAATATTTTTGTTATACTTTCTAAACCCTGTATCTGTAAAGAACAGGTTGAATTTTTTGTGGCATACACAGTTGATATGGTTGCTCTAGCACGACAAACAGCAGTTTGAACTTGAATCATGAAAGAAGGGACTGTTATCACAAGATAATTATCATCTGTGAAGATCACAGCTTGTAATCTAATTATTTTAAAACACTATCAGAAATAAATTGCTTTGGTTTATATAATTATTATTTTTTTCCTGATGTATCTTGATTTTACTCCTAAGTATGGTTATAAAGGTTTTCTAATAATGATTTTTGTATCCTGCATGATGCAATGAAGGCATTTCAATAAACATTTTTAAAAACACATTTGTTTTAAATATTCACTTGCTGCTTCATCTTGAGACATTTGCTTGTCTTTTAAATAATGTCCTATACACTTGTGTACGCAATTTTGTATTTCATAGTAATGCTTAAGCTAACCATTCAATGTGTTTCCTCATAAAAGAGGTATGGAAAATAATCTTTCAGATGGCAGTGAAATTAGGAGTGTAGTCCGTTTACTGTGTGTACATAATACCTTTCTCATTTTTATGACCCTGTTTGAAAAATTTATCACCAGCCTTGGATATAGGAAAATGTTTTGTTTACCTACAAAATAGAAATTGCTGAAGTTCAGCGGTTTCCCTGTTTTCCCAAGATTTGACTTTGACATGACTCAAAGGGCAGGAAGTATTAGCTCATGGTAGAAGTCCATGTGGTTTCATGAATTTTTTTTTCCCACTAAGTTTGCTATCATCATCACAGAGAGTGGTGGGTTTTATAGTAGTGGACATCAAGACAATGTAAACAAAGCATGGCCGTAGGCATCATCTTTTATGATCAGTCTGCACGCTCTGCAAGCTTACACCCGCGGGAGTGAAGTACCCACTTACCCTGAAGGACATCAGGTAATTGCAAACCACTGCTGCATCCATTGACCCACCTCCTGACAGGGGCTGGGCCGGCACTTGCCTGGGAAGTACCTTCACAGGCACTGTAAACTTTACAGGTTCTTTTCTTGCTTTCTGCATGGTCTGTATTACAAAAGGTATAATGCCTAAAGATCTTCTGGAAGGAAAACCTTGTTTGGGCTACCCTGTCTGTGCAAATGAGGCCAGGTAGAGAGGGGTAAGAGGGCACAGGCTGGTTTGCAAGCCCTGTGGGCTGAGAGATGGCCAAGCCCCCAGACCGCTGAGAGGTGATGATGGAGGGACAACTGGTTTTGAAATGACTGTTCTGGCCAGCTGTAGGGGTAACGTAATTATGTGCACTACACTATGTATGTATTACAAAATGTGTACTTTAGAACAGCTTATAACCTACAGGCACCCAGCAGCAGGGGGGTTTCCGGGCTGGGCCTTGGCTGGTACAGAGAGGCCTTGGAGGGGGTCCCCTCTCCAGCACACACACACCCCCAGGGCCACGCTCAGTTTTTATTGACAAAGCTTTGTTTCCCACTTCACTAATAAGCATACCGAATTCATTACACCGACCAAAGACAG